CCCCACGCAATGGACTTTGCGTTGAAGTCCCCCAGCACAAGGACGTGCCCAGACGCTAGTCGCCGTATCGAGGTCTCCAAGCTGGTTAGGAAAACCTCGAAGTCGTTCAAACTCCGGTTGGGGGAGAAATAAACGCCATATATGGTGATCCCCCCCCACTCGACGGCAACCCTGTCTCCCTTGCCCTTGTCTCTTAGCGACAAGGGCGGGGCCCTTGTCGCTAAGAGACAAGGGCACTGGATATGTTGCCGGAATATGTTGTCGTGGAACCGACGACTGCCACGGAGCCGTCCCAGTCACCCATCCAGTTTGGACGGGGAGGGACAGAATAGGGCTCCGCGACTACGGCAACACCTATCGACCACTGTGCCATGGTTTGCAGGAAGAGATCCTGCGCCGCGGCACAGTGGTTCAGGTTCGTCTGGACCAGGAGGTTGGAGACTTGATCCATTACTGGATCGTCTCTACAACCTCCTCCATGGGCGACGACGTCGACGCAATATTGACGTCGGGGGTAGCCTGGGTCGACTGGCTAGCCCCTGACGTCTGCCGAGAACTGCGGGGAGGCTTGCAGCCTCTCTGTCCCATCTGGTGATTGGCGGGCTTATTGCCCGCCGCACACGCTGGGCAGTGAGGGGCGGCAGAGCATTCTGCCGCCTTATGCCCCGGTTGACCGCAGCGGAAACACAGTCCGCCGCAGTCAAAACAACTGTCGCACTTGACGCGCGTGTGTCCCGTGGCCAGGCATTTAAAACACCTCATCGGTCTCGCCGCCAGGACTGTGATCCTGGCGCTCACGAAACCGATGAGCAGCCTGCCGGCGTCGGCCAATACTTTGGCCGACGCTACGGGACAGCTGACCCACACGGCGCCAAGCCCTCCTGGACCGGGGTGGATGGTGCCGACCCTGACGTTGTCCGCGCTGCACCCCGTCTTCTCCCGGATTACAGCGCGGACATCTTCGGCCGTCACTGAATCGTCCAGGCCCGAGATGCGCAGTTCCGCGCACTTGGTAGGCCTGGCGACCCTGACACCATCTGTAGCCGCAAATATTCCCCGCAGCCTCTCAGCGAAGGAGTCCGCCGTCTTTGCGCCTTCAGCCCCAGGGAACTCGAGGACTCGAGCTCCCGTCTGGGCGAGGCGCATCCTGACCCCCACCGTCCCAAACTCATTGGCGAGGCTGTCCCGGGCCTTTTTGAAGACGGCCGCGTAGGACAGCCCGCCGTCCGCCGCCTCCGGGGACACGGTCACCACTACAGCCGCGGTTTTGGGCGGCTGCAGCTTCCGCGGCCTCTTTGTGGAGGCCGTTGCTACCGGTGGCGAAGGCTGGGCTTGGGCTGCTTTTTGGGCAGCCCTTTTGGCCCGCCTTCGGGACTTCTTGGAGCCCCTCGCCTCCTGCCAACCCTCGTTGGAGGGGGCAGGTGCGGAGGGGCCCGTCAGGAGTGTCGGAGTGGGGAGCGGAGGGAATGCCACTCCGCTCCTCGGCGCTGATTTAGGCCCCGTCTTGGCCGGCGCCTGGGGATGTGCCTTGGCCGGCGCCTTAGCCGGTGCCTTGGCCGGCGCCTGGGCCGGTGCCTTGGCCCCCCTCCTCGGCTTTTGGGGAGCCGATGGAGTAGGGGCAGACGCCGCCGCCGCGTAAGAAACGCGGCCTCCCACCACGGGGAGCGCGGTCGGAGCGGCGGCCTTAGGCCGCTGTGCCGACGCGAGCGGGGGGCGCACAATCGGCGCAGGGGGCAGTCTCGCCTCCAGGCCAGCCAGGCGTCCGTCCAGCATATTCAAAACTGCGATGAGGATTTCCCGCAGTTGGGAGTCAAATGCCCCTGAGTTGGTGGTAGGGGCAGGCTGGGACGCGGACGGGGCTTCCCGCTCGGGGAGGTTCGGCTGGAAGCGGGCGAACTGAGCACTCAGCTCGTTCACCCGCTCCGTCAGCCTCTCGTTGGCCACCTGTAGGCGCGAAACGTCGCCCACTAGGCCCTCCACGACCTCCGACAAAGCGGAGGAGGAGTCCTTAAGGGCCCTCACAAACGAGCCCTTAAGGTTCACGGACTTGGTGGCCACCTTGTGGATGACGGCCACCGCCGCTTTCGCCCTCTCCTGCACGGACACGGGAGTCTGGGGGGCATTTCCCCCCATCGGCTCCCGAACCTTGAGCAGGAGATCCGCGATCTCCTCCTCCGCTACGGCCTCGCCGTCCACCCGTACGCTTCTGTACGACTCCGCGTTTGAGAACGCGGAGCCTGACGGGGTCGAGACCGGAGCCGTTTTGCGTGCCCTCCCTCGGCGGCTGCTTGCCACCTTTGGTGGCATCATCTCCTGGGACGTGTCGGTTTCCACGTCCCCTGAGCGTCCGCGTTTTCGGCTGTCGCTGCGATGTTCCGCTTCCATGGCCTCCGCGCCATCCGACGAAGCGGCGGATCCGGAACGCAGCCGATCTGATGCTCTTCGGCTCCCAGAGACCAGCGTCAGACTGACTTCTGGGAGCCCCACCGAGATAGGCGTTCCCGACGCCATCTCACCCTCCGTGGATGACCCATCCACTCCACTGTTCCTCTTCTCCCTTGCACCCTTCGTTTCAGTGTCCGTTTTGCTTGCCTGTTTTTGTTTGTTTTCCGTTTGTGTCCGTTTGTTTGTATTTTTATCAGTATTCATATTCATAAATAATCCCACGAGTGGGGGAGAACTAAAAGGTCCACCCGGGCAGAGATCCCCATTACCCGGGCAAGCGTAAGTTTTTAACCCAACCGAGGGGTCCGCAGGTACCTCGGCTTGGAGTGCGCTCGAGACTGAACTTCCCATCAGCCATGCATCCCCTGGCCACGCACCAGAACACGGGATTCGGGGAATTTTTTAGAGAGGTTATCTTCCTCGCGGTCCGGGCGGTTAAGCCAAGACCCTCGCCCCCGATCAGAGCCGAGAGACTTAACCACAGCGCTCTTCTCGGGATTACGATATGCCGACGGTTGACAGGGAGACTACGTCCCCCTGCCTGCTCGGTGGTAGTGTCAGTACACGCCGAGCCCGTCCTCCTTTCTCCACCGCTGTCAGCGGAGAAACTGTGGCCCCTACAGGGCCCCGCCATCCGGTTTTTTACCGAGGTTTCCTCCTCCATGCTCCGAAGAGCGAAGAGCCAGCAGGGCAACCGGCAGACACGCCCACCCTGCTGGACCAGGCCTTGCCCGAGAGCCGATGAACGGCTACCTCTTCTGCTAGAATATTGGCCGCTGGCGATAATCCTCTCCTCCAAGAGGACAAGGAGGAAACAGTACCATCGCCAGCGTTTCCAGAGTGCACCACGAGGAGGTTTTCTAGCCTAGCACCCCTTGGCTCAAACCCTATACCAACCCGTCTGGAAAGCGTGGTATAGTAGGCCAAAACCTCCTGCCTAAGAAGAGTCCAGCTAGTGGACTACTAAAGGCTGTTGATGATGACGTAAAATAAGAAGAAGAAACGTTTGGTTTCTGTAAATTAGCCGTATATACCCGACTGCAAAAGAAGGAGTATTATGTTTACCGAGTATATGTATTTGTACATTTCTTAGTCTAAATTGCTTGAGAGATTTTGGCTTTAGAGGTGTCGTTAGATTCGTCTTAATTGTGAGATTGACCCTGGGTTTAAAAAAATTATTACAGAAATTAAAGTACCCGGTTTGTCAAACTTTATTTTCCATTAATTTGATTACATTTTTTTTTAATTTAAATAAAACGACGTTATAATAAAACGAAGTAAATAACTGATAGTTTTCAAATTTACACGTATTGAATACTAGCTGACCCGCGCAACTTCGTCTGCGTCTCTCAATAGTAATAAATTTTCTCCGTTTTTGAAACATTCTTCATTGGTGCTCCGCTCCTATTGGTCTTAGCGTGATGATATATAGCCTATAGCCTTCCTCGATAAATGGGCTATCTAACACTGAAAGAATTTTTCAAATCGGAATAGTAGTTCCTGAGATTAGCGCGTTCAAACAAACAAACAAACAAACAAACTCTTCAGCTTTATAATATTAGTATAGAGACTATATCACGAACATCTTAAATTTATCTATGTAACATACAATCATTAAAAAAAAATAGAGACACCTCACACACACAATTGGCCTGTTGGTCTAGTGGTTAGTGACCCTGACTGTTAGGCAGAGGTTGTGGGTTCGGTTCCCACCTAGGATAAATAATTGTGTGATGAGCACGATCATTTGTTCTGTGTCTGGCTGGGTGTACTTAATTTATAATATTTATGTATTATGAAATATATAACTTATGTTTATCAACATTCTGGTTACCATAGTATAGTAGTAGTACTAAGCAGACAGGCACGCTCTGCTTAGTTTGGGATCAGATGGCCGTGTGTGAAATGTGTAAATTATAGTTTAACTCATATAATAGCTTCATCATCATCATCATCATCATCATCAACAGACTTTACTAGTCGACTGCTGGACATAGGCCTCTTCTTAGAAAGGAGGTTTGCGTTTACTATACCATATTCTATATATAATATAATAGATTCACATAAAAGTAATTAAATTTATCGTTTCTTATATACATCGACGACTGTATGGCGTAGTGGTTTGTGTAACGGACTGCTATTCCAAAGGTCGCGGGTTCGATTCCCGCTCAAGTCAAACATTTGTGAGCATGAACATTTGATGTTTGATTTGGTCTGGGCGTTTTTATGTATAATATGTATGTATTTACAAAAAAAAAGTATATATGTATTTATATCAGTTGTCTAGTACCCATAGTACAAGCTCTGCTTTGGGACTAGATGGCGTTGTGTGTATGTGGTAGAATTTATTATTTATTATTATTATTATATTTATGTATCATGTATATATAATATAGTACATTAATTCCATTCCAACAGCAATATAGACATAACACGAACATACATAAATACGTTGAACCAAAATCAGAACACACTAAAACAACAATTTATGTAACACAAAACTCAGGGTGAGTAAATAGAAACACAATATACATAATTATTCTGGCAATAACGAAATGGATGAAACATTAGGAATGAATGTTGTAGTTGGTAATGAAAGCGTCATGCATTACGAAGCAAACATTAACAGAGATAATGATGTTACACCACGATTAATTTCGAACTAACACAAAGGGGCACAAATGGTTTAGATTATTACACGTTCGCTTCGGCTTACAATCTTTTCTCTAGTTCTGTAATTGTGTTGAGTATGAAATGGAAACTATTGTTTTTGTGTACATCACATCACTGTCCACTGCTGGACATAAGCCTCTACTTAGAAAGGAGGTTTTGGCTTACTATACCACGCTGGCCAGACGGTTTAGTAAAGGGTTTGTGTCAAGTTTTCCTTCTCTTTGTAGTGCTGTTGTCCTGTGTTATTTGCTTCCTTAGTCGGGTCTTACGACACCCACGGGATGAATAGGGGTGGTGACACTCTGTATTCTTAAGCCGTCACCACACGGACACATCCATGAATATATATATTTTTTAATAAAAAAAAACTATTTTCAGTCCGTCCGAAACTGAACGTATCGAACCGATTTGCTGAATTTTTTTTTTCATGAAATAAATTGTTACACAAATTTTCCATTGAGCTTTAGATATCACTCCACTTTCACCCCTCGTAAGTCTGTAATTCTTTTTTGATATCATCGGTTCTAACTGACGATGATATGATGATGGACTTGACGTCCGAATGACGTAGTGGTTTGTGTAACGGACTGCTATTCCAAAGGTCGCGGGTACGATTCCCGCTCAAGTCAAATATTTGTGTGTATTAACATTTAATGTTTGATTTGGTCTGGGTGTTTCTATGTATAATAAGTATGTATTTCCAAAAAAAAAAGGATTTAAATGTATTTATATCAGTTATCTAGTACCCATAGTACAAGCTCTGCTTAGTTTGAGACTAGATGGCGTTGTGTGAATGTGGTAGAATATTATTATTATTAACTAACACAAGTAAGACTCGTTTTGACTCAAATTCAAATTTAAATCTCTTTTAAAATTTTAGGGTTTACCTCAAAAGGTAAAAAAGGAACTCTCATAAGATCACTTTCTTGTCCGTCTGTCCGTGTGTCACCATCGATTTTCTCAGTGACGGGTAGACCTAGCAAGTTGAAATTAATACCAGATACTGAGGTCTATGGTCCCTATTAGATATATAAAACTCAATATCCTGAGTCAACACTATAAAAAGAAATTGGCAAAATTTCGATTTCGATTCGAAAATATACGTAAAATCTGGGTAGGTACGGAACCCTCGGCGCACGAGGTCGACTCGTACCTGACCGGTTTTTTTTTTCATCAGTACTTAACAGAGTAATTAAGTTTTATCAGCTATTTTAAAAGTACCTCAATACGCACTCCAAATGTAAAAACAAATCCGTTAATATAAAAATTCAAATCCACTCCACACGAAATTCATTACTACGAATATTGGTAAACGATATTTGACACATTCATAGCACACGTCTGTTTGAATTTCCACGTCAAATCCTTAGAGGGCGGGTGTTACTAATACTCTAATATCACCCACCCATTCTCCATTGGCACTAGTGGAGCATTATTGAGGTTCCGAACACAATAAAAAAACAATTTTATAAATGATAGGTATTTTAAGAATTTAACTCGCTACGTCACCTTCCGTCAATGTACGTTCACATTAATACCTGTTTAAAATTCAAAGAGCTTGCGGCCTTACTGCAGTCTCGAGTAAACTAAATTAAATAGAAGACCCGGTGACTTGGCGGGATGAGATGTAAATTTTGTACTGTTGCAACTATCGTGGAAGAGCAAAAACTAATTTGCGCATTTTAAAATGCCAGATGGAGTATAAATTGGCAGATTACGGCGAAGAGGACTAAATTATTTTCATCAAAACGTATGAAAAACATTCATCGGTTTGTTATTAGTATTATTTATTTACAAACTACCACCATTTCAAGTAATTGTGTTTTCCTAACAGGTTGGCTGGCTTCGAGCGGAAGACCAAACTGTGCTGTCCCTTAATGATCGAGTAGTCCTCAGCCCCCGGTATTCGGTAAACTTGGATACTCCTAGCACTTGGCAGTTAAGAATAAGACCCCTGCGTGCTGAAGACCGTGGTTGCTACATGTGTCAAATTAATACACAACCTAGCATGAAGTGGCAAATAGGCTGCATTGATGTATATGGTGAGTTTTTATATTAATCAAATTTGCAACATAAGTAAAAATGTACAGAAACATTTACTAAAAAGAAAAAAAAACGGCTGTTCTAAAAACCTCCTGTGTAAAAAAATTCAGTAAGTTACTATCAACAAATGACATTTTTAATTAAAAACCTTTTGATATTTATTATCTTTCAAAGCGTAAATTAAAAGGGAAAATTGTGTTCCATTTGTAGGAGCAATATTGAAAAGGTGTAGCCGTAAAGAACTTAAGTAAATTACACAACAGCAAACAGAGTTGGAAACTTTACAAACAAGAATTCGTGCGAAAAGATATTTTTTTAATAAAAACCTCGAAACGAACGATTTCTCTAAACGTGTAATCGGTAAAATAAAAAGAGAGGAAGTCTTAAGCTTATTAAGGATAGGGGACGAATCCGAAGCTTCAAAACATTTCAAAGTACTTACGTAGGACTTAGAACAAAACTCAATATCAATGAAACGTCTCGAATGAACGTTGGAAAAGTATTTTCTTGAGAAAAATAAATCACCTTAAAAGAAGTTAACGTTATTTCGCCGCGCCATTGAAGGTGGGCGCCAAGTTTTATCGTCGCAGCTCAAATTAGTTCTGGGGTATATTCTTTTTTTCAATTTTGAAGTTTTGAAGTATGGATTCCAATATTGAATTTTTACTATGTCTCTAAGGTGCCCAGGTATAACTTTAGGGGAAGATGAAGAATTTAATATATAATAAGGACCGTAGTCGTCATGAAAGAAACTCACTTTTAATTGAAATATCAGGAATTTAGAATTCAGTTATTTTTAATTTAATACAGGAAACCATATGGAGTATGTGGTACCGTGTTTTTTTATCTACGCCTTGAATCAACGATGACTTACTTAATTCAGTAAAGAGTATAAAATATTTAAATTATATCTAAAGTTTATCTGCTTTAGAAAAAAGGCATAACGTTGTATTTAACAACACACCCATGAATAAAACAAATTTCATACTAAATTCTTAACTATTTGCTTAGGTGAAATTGCTTATAAGAAGTAATTGTAAATGCAGATTGTTTGTATTGTATAAATGTTGTGATTGTATAAATGTAGTACGACTTACAGTACTTTATACAGTAGTTTGCTTATTCTATTCGTGTTTCATACAGCGAATCACTTTTTTCAAAAAATCCTCAGATAAAAAGCAAATTAAATTTAAATACAAACCAGTCTGAATTCCTGTTAGATCTAAACATTTCTTAAATTTTTGTAAATAGAATAGTGACTTGTTTAAACGAATCAAACAATACAATAAAAAACTCAAAATCTCTTAACGCAGAAAATAAAGTGCTTTGACACATGTTCAAAATTGGTTGCGTGCACCTGACATAATAAATATTCAAGTGTATTTTTATGAAATTCGGCTTGTTTTATCAGTTTTCTACTCTTTGGACATACTGGTTTAGTGAAACGTAAATGGAGATAAATAAACAGTGAATAATTCCTGCAAATAGTGTCACTTGTTTATAATAATGAATAACAGTGAACTAGTTTTTTTTTATTTGTTTATTACGCGTAATTTTGTAACATAGAACTACACACTAGTAAACCTTTGTAGCATAAATGAAAAAAATGCAATGTAAGAATCATGAGTTTGATTACCGCTCAATATAAATCCTTGTCTAAATAAAATAAATATTCTTGTAATTTCTACATAAGTATGTTGGAGAATATCTAAGATTTTTAACTAAAGCAATAAAACAAACCTTTCAAATCAATTTGATTAAAATTTTACTTCACTTAGTTCCACCCGACATCATTAATGAAGAAACATCAGCAGACGTATCAGCCCAAGAGTTGGATAACGTGACCCTTATCTGCAGAGCTTCAGGGCATCCTCCACCTAAGATTACCTGGAGGCGAGAGGATCACGAACCTATGTTACTAAAGAAGATTGGCAACAGAGATTTTTACAAAGGTATGTCTTTGATAGCTATCATACAATTATTATTATACAATTTTTTAGGATTATACAAGCACTAAGTAGAATTTTGTGTAAAAAAGTGGCTATGTAAGTGTACAAGTACTTACTGCTAATGTAAAAATTCTTTATAAATCGCACATCGTGCCTAATGTATTCAAATTCAATGGACTTATAAAACGCTATTTAGAAAAGTACGTTGTATGAATTGTAAGAAGCAAATTCAATGGTTTGGAACATTGCATACTTGGGGTTGATTCAAAGTAGCCAAAAATTGAAAACAAAAAGGATCATTTGTCACAATACTATTGGGAAACTGGGGAGATAAGGTATGGCTTTGATAACGTTTAAAAAAATAACGCAAATATCACGTCAAACATCTTTTGAAGTTTCCTGCTTTTGATGATATTGAATTTGATACATGTATACCTAAGTAAAAACCAATAGCAACATTTTTACGTTATTAAAACAGTATTACATATATTTTTTCTCGTAAAATGTATGAAAATTACTTTTTAATATGTCAAAAGAATTGAACCGTTTTTAAAAGTTCAACTTATTATTAAAGGTGCATGAAATTGCTTCAATCTCAATGGCATGAGCTATTAACATGACGAACAATGGCGAGCCTTACTAATATTTATTTGTGATTGCCAAAGTGGTTGACTGGTCTATGATAATCAACTCGGGGATACTTCGGACTAAATAATCTAAATTCCTAAACATAAATAATTTATAATATAAGTTTATTCCATCTCATGTAATGATCATACATATCATCAGTTAAGTATACATTACATAGAGAAGTTGTTTGAAGCTGTTCAGGAGACTAATTTGCTTAGCAACTATATAAAAGTAATCACATTACAACCAGTGAAATTCTTAATTCCATGGTAGTTCATCATCCGGAGTCCATCATGGCGTCATCCGGAGAGCCAACCTTCCCTTACTACCTGTGATATTTAATGAGTTGGTTTTATTTAATAATGGCTTGATGATTATGAGACCAACAGGAAAGTTTAGCTTAACAAACAGTAAAAGAAGTTTTTCAGTTTTTCAAATTGGGCCTGCGGGCGTGGTTGCATACTTAATAAATTATTAAATACTACCTGAGACCCGCGGTGTTACCCGCATTTGTTGTTATAACTGCGGGCAACGCCGCGGGGTGAAGTTAGTCTAAAAAAGTAGCCTAAGTTACTCCTTATGTCATCAGCTATCTGCCAGTGAAAGTCCCATCGAAATCGGTCCAGCCGTTCCAGAGATTACCCGGAACAAACAGACAGTCAGACAGACAGACAAACAGACAAAAATTTAAAAAAATGTTATTTTGGCATATGTACCGTGTAAACATACATATGCATTTATTAAAAAGCGGTTATTTTAATATTACAAACAGACACTCCAATTTATTTATTTGTATAGATCACGATAAACTGAAAACCGATCTTGTTTACAAATCGGATGAATATAGGTTGAGCTAATCTACATGAAGTACTTTTAATGATATCTAAAAATCATTCTCCTTTACTAAAATTTTCGGAGCTTAATGGTTCTTAATTTCTTCCTTAGTTGATAGTTACACGGGCAGTTCTTTGCACCTATGGCGCGTAGACCGTAGACAGATGGGTGCGTTTCTGTGTATTGCGGCCAATGATGTGCCGCCTGCTGTCAGCAAACGTATCATACTCAACGTCAACTGTAAGTATATCAATTCCTTTTCTTACACACATACGCTTACGTCTTTCTCCTTGAGTAGTACTACTACCTTCCAGGATTGAACATACCTCACAAGTTTCCTATACCCGTTTTAAATAAATGTGACCTACCCTCTCTTCAGAATATTATCAACTGGTCCAAAGTAAACACACAGTAGTTGAGCCGTGCCAGTCATCCAACTCACCTTAAAGGTATAAAATTAATTTATATTAAAAGAAATCATATTTCTACCGAAAGATCCTTTGGTGTTGATTTTTTCCATTCATGGTTTGACGTTGACTGAATTGCACAACAGAATATAGACTTTGAGACAAAGAATAAAATTCTGATACCACTTTTACTGCGTAATTTTAAATCCAAGCGTATTGTTAGATATTTAAGCTTACAGTTTCTTAATGAAATGACTAAACACATTAAAAAACTTATAAAATAAGTAACTTTTAAAAAACTGTTGAAAATGTTAAAGATAAAACTAAACCACGAATTTATTTAAAATTGCTAAGGGTAAAATAAAATGAATGAAAATATATATATTAACGAAATCAAATTAAGGAACACAATACTTACGATCGCCCGGTACAATTTACATTTCCGTAGAACAATTTCAAAATCTCTAATTGGGTGAGTAACATTGGATTCATAAAAGCAAAAATCGTCTGTTTATTAAAATATTGAATAACAAGTCAGAATATTATGAGTTTTAACAAGGAGTGCTTCGAGTTTGTCTGCAAATAAGGCAGAAATGAAACAAATCGAGCGGCTCTCACCTTTGCTTCCAATACAATTAGACGATTATTCCTCTTGCCTACCTCCGTATAACTAACGCGGTGGTGCAATTCAAAAACTCGGGCGGATATCTAAGTAAACATGTTTAGCTGTCTTCGAATCAGCCGTACATGTGTCAAGAACTTGAAATGGGGAAATGCGGTTAAAGTGCAATTGTCTAAAATTTCTTATACTCATATGCGTGTATCAGAATAGCTTATTTTGCGGTATTAGCTACTATTCGGCGGTGGGATAAATAATAATGTGAACCTCATAAAGCCATGGTGGAATTGTTGTACCAGTTTAAGATAAAAATGAACCACATATTACATGATTTAGTGTAGGTATGGCTTAATACAGTTGAATAATAGGAATAATAATAATTTATTACCAACATTAAGAGACTCGTAACAAAACGCTCACATTTCGCTTCCCACTCGTATCTTCGCCCACACTTCTAGTCGTGATAAAGCCGAATTGATCTCTCTCTTGTAAGCCGACCTTGCGTATAATTGACTCTTCCCTGTCATTGGCTGCCAGGCCCCTCTTAGCCGATATACTGATCATATATTTGAAATAGTTAGAAAAACACTTTCATTAATATCGATCGATAAGTTGCTTTTACTACGCGCCGTGATATAAAAAGTTTTTTGTGTTTTACCAGAAGAATACACGGTGGAATTAGTGCGAAATCTTCTGCACAACTTACACACTAACTGTAAGTAAAGACATAATCGCTGTACCAACTCTAAAATAGCCAATTTGAGCAGATTTGCTTTCGGAAGAATTGGAAACTTTTGTTTGCATACCCATTATATCAAGTTCTAAAACACAATTTGAGGCGAACGCGTATGAGCCGCGCTATACCGCGCACTTACGCCCTTTTGGACACGACATAACCACGATCAAGTCTCGGAGTGGGCATTTATTAGTGTGCTTTTGCAACAAAATATTAATATTGTTTTATATGTATTTTGTACCAGGGCATTTATTAGCGTGTCCTTTAAAACTACGTTTTAATTACCATCTACATTAATCTGAGGCGCACAGTTGGTGATTATAATGTCGCTCCAACGAACACCCCCTAAAACACCTATCACATCTACTATAGGCCATACCCAGTCAGAATCGGATTTGAATTCGTTACAACTTAGCGCCTCCTTTGTAAATACAAACCGAAACAAGCGCCCGCGCCATACCCAATCGCCTGGAGAAGAAGACCACGATCTCAAGCAAGAAATAGTCGCGCTGTTGAATGGTTGGAAATCAGAACTTGATAGTAAATTCAATGACATGTGTGCCAGACAAAACACGCTTATTGCTAAAATCTCCACCGAAATTTCAGAGCTGAAAACACAAACCTTTAAAATTAAGGAATCAAACGACGAAATAGTGGCCTCAATGTCCTTTATTAACAAGCAGTACGAGGAAATAAAATCTGGTCTAGACTGCCTGCAGAAAGAAAGGCTAGAACAACGGAAGTGCTTGGAGAATTTAGAAAGAAAAATGCAAGACCTACAATTAAAATCACGATCATCTAGCATTTCAATGCTAGATGATCGTGATTTTAAATGTCCCGTAAGAAATGTCCCTCCGAAAGATAAAGAAAACAGTGAAGATCTCACTAGCACTGTTAGTAACATTGGTCAGGCTGTCGGAATCCCGATTTCTGCAAAGGATTTAAGAGATATTTATCGTTTACCAGGTAAGGATGATTCGATCCGCCCGATCGTTGTGGAATTCCAGACCGTCCAAATGAAGTCGAACACTCTGGCAGCAGTTCGCGAATTTAACATTAAAAAGAAAACCGTGGAAGATAAGCTCAACACAGAATTAATAAACATCCCAGGAAAACGACAACCAGTATATGTAGCCGACTACCTTCCTATAAGCTCCAAGAAACTTTTTCATGCAGCCCGAGAATTCGCCAAACTAAACAAATTTAAATACTGCTGGACTTCAAACGGTAAAATCTTTCTTCGTAAAGAACAAGGCGACAAGCAAATCCTAATTTCTTCGGAACAATATCTCTTGGACTTAAAGAAAAACTTGTGACTATGTAACTATGGTACATTGTTAACTTTTCTTTACTGTTACTTTCTCTTTTTAAATACCGTGTCAATATCCATGTCTGTCATCAGCACAAATTCTTTGAAAAACAATTGTAAGATTATTTGTAATTCTCTTTATCAAATTAAGTTTAAAAGGACCAAAAATGACATATACCAACACACACCCGAATCACACATATCACACTCCCGCACAATACATACTATACAAGCACAACTCTAAGCACACACTCACTACTACATCCATACACCCCATTAACGCGCTGTATGGTATCACCTGACATCTACTTCTATAATCAATGGCCAATATAAACAATATCAACACAGAACTAGATTCACTTGAACTCACAAACTCTTATGTGTGCCGACCAGATGACTGCCTACTATTCCTTCCTCATGTGAACCATGCTATCAGGCTGTTTCATATTAACATCCGTAGCATTAACAAAAATTTTGACCAGCTCCGAGTATTATTAACAATGACTGATATAAAATTTGACGTCATCGTTCTGACTGAATGTTGGCTTCGCGGAGTGGGTAACTTGCCAACTTTAGAGGGGTACACTGCATACTCCGCGAGCTCCGGGTTTGGTCGATGTGATGGCGTCGTCGTCTATGCTAAATTAAACCTATCATGTAAAGTACGCAAACCAACATTTAAGGATGCAAGTTGCTTAATTTGCCAAATAGATAATAATGTTACGGTTGTAGCTGTATATCGTTCGCCTTCTCTAAAAAACAGAGAAAATTTTAATAACTTTGTAAGCAGCCTGCACGATGTCTACAACAGTCTATCCACCAATATAGTTTTAGTTGGCGACATAAACATCGACATATGTCCTAACAGTTTAGACCCCCTACGTGACGAATACTTGACCTTCAATGCGACGCATGGACTTTTCCCAACACATACCCACCCTACAAGAAATACAAGTTGCCTAGACCATTTCCGCACGAAACCAAACGCCCTTGCTACAACTCTTGTACTGGAGTCCTATGTAACGGATCACATGCCAATTGTCTTACATATAGATACAACTGCCCCTTCTTGTCAACCAGCAGCAAATAAAACTCTCTTGGATTATAACAAAATAAAAAAAGATCTAGAAAACTTTGACTTTACAAATGTATTAACGACAGACGACGCAAACTCGGCAACCGAAACTCTTATATCTACAGTCTCGAATATCATACACAATAACACAATAACCAGTACAGTAACTAGAAAATACATAATCCTTAAACCATGGATCTCGCCAGGACTACTCCGTTGTATAAGGCATCGAGATCAACTACACATAAAAACTAAAAAAGCGCCAGATAACATGACCGCTAAACTAATCTACACGAGCTATAGAAATTATTGCAACCACCTCTTACGTAAACTGAAAACAGCCTATGAAAAAAGCCTGATTGACAAAGCTGGTAAAGATCCAAAAGCTCTCTGGGCAGCAATAAAGAACATAACAAGCGCCCAAAAAGCTAAAGTTAATCCTACGGAACTCCTTCAAATAAACAATGACCCTGAAACGTCTGTAAATCTTGTATGCAACTTCTTTACAAGTATAGGACAAAATTTGGCCGATGGAGTTCTCACCTCTGCAGCTGTTCAAAACAGCAATCCGGAAACACATAGTGCTATTAATCTGGCCTCTCTTAATAGCCCTGTAAACTCAATCAGTATTATGGAAGTAGACAAGCATGACATTGAATCCATAATACTGCAACTCCGCACTGACTGTGCCACAGGCTGGGATGGCATCTCATCACAAGTAGTAAAACAGTATCGCCACATTTTAATACCCCCCATTACCCATATGTGCAACCTCGCAATAAACACTGGAACATTTCCAGATATACTTAAAAAAGCGATAATACACCTGATCTACAAGAGTGGAAACAGAGACTGTGTCAGCAACTACCGCCCTATAGCGGTGCTATCCTGTATCTCAAAAATTCTAGAGAAAATACTCAACCGAGCACTCAAGGCATTTCTGGAGAAATTTAAAATAGCTATCTGATAATCAATACGGTTTTCGCTCAGGTTACTCTACTGAAGATGCCGTACTTGACCTGACAACTGCAATTGTGAAAAACTTGGACAATAAAAATAAATGCTTATGTATATTTCTAGATCTCTCTACAGCATTTGACACGGTCTCTGTCCCCATCCTCCTAGCTAAATTGGAGAAGTTAGGCATACGGGGAAATGCATATAACATTATCAAAGACTACCTAGCCAATAGGAAACAACAAGTCAGAGTAGGTAATGTGGATAGTGATGAGGCTACACTGTCCTACGGTGTTCCACAAGGGAGTATATTAAGTCCGACACTTTTCCAGCTCTATATAAATGATCTCTGCCTAAATCTCTCCTCCGAAACACTAACATCTTTACGTATGCAGATGATACGGCAATTTTTGTCTGGGGACCGGACTGGAACACCGTTAAGGAAATAGCTGAGTATTCATTATCCAAAATTATGAACTGGCTTGCAGACAACTTGCTGACGTTAAACCTCTCCAAAACGTATTATGTTGCCTTCTCGATCACGAAAAACAAACTCCCCACCACAAAACTTCTCAATCACTGCCCATACTTGCCTTTCCCAGAATGCCTGCAAATGTCAACAAATCGATAGAGCTGAACATGTTATGTACCTGGGAGTGTATATTGATGGTGGACTGAGGTGGGACAAGCAGATACACACAGTCACCTCCAGAGTGAGGAGACAAATACACATATTCAAATCACTAAGAGACTGTGTTCCACTAGAAAAGCTAAAACTTATCTACTTAGCCCTATGTCAGTCCATTATCCTTTATTGCATTACAGCTTGGGGTGGCGCCAGCAAGACGCTCCTACTAGGTTTGGAAAGAGCACAAAGAGCTGTGCTCAAGGTTATGACTAAGAAGCCTTATAGATACTCCACCGAAAAATTATACATAGATTGCAAAGTGTTATCAGTTCGACAGCTCTTTGTGCTCAAGTCCACCATGAGAAGACATCGAAGTGTCCCACGTCCCGATCCAGGTAGACGCAGCGGGATGTCTCTATGCCCACGCATTCCCTGCAAAACATCCTTTGCCAGAAGACAATTTAATAGCATAAGCATAAAATTATACAACGAGATACACAAGAAACTCAACATTGCAGGACTAAACAACCACAAACTCAAAACCACTCTTACAGACTGGCTTCTAAAAATGGATTATAACAAAACTGAACAACTACTGACATACATTGCGTAACATACACACAAACATCATCATATACAAGCACATAACTCATATAAGAAAAAAAAAAAAAAAAAAAAAAAAAAAAAAAAAAAAAAAAAAAAAACAAAAAAAAAAAAAAAAAAAAAAAAAAACACACATACTTTTATACAAACACCCATACTAATACACATACACACACACTCACACACACACACACACACTCACACACACACTCACCTATACACATACCCACTCAATAGCAATTGGTCCACTTATGTAATATCAATTATTTACACCTTGCATACAGCGACCACGTTCACTTGCACACACAAAAATTGTAAGTTGTAATAGATAGTTGTAATTTATAATACACGACTGAAAACTGTCACCCAAAATACAAGCCTTCGCTTAGTTTGGGAGACAGTATCAGTACCTAAAGCTCAATACATTAAATTGTGTCAAATTATAAGTGTTCCCTTGGGAACTGTATAATTTTTGTGACAATAAAGCTTATTATTATTATTATTATTAGTTATTCCTTCTACTAGGAGGCTAATATATTAATGTTTTCACATTAAAATTATTAAACGTAATATGTCGTTGACTTAAGGTTTGGGCCTATTATATACAGTAACTGCGTAATCTGTCTTGTAATACAAATCTCTACTTTCTCACTGAAGTATTAAACTAATACACAAACGAGTACGTCTATCTCATTGTAAGGAGTTATTGTTGGCAAGAGATGCCTGGAATATCTGAAGTACTCTATTTTTTGTGCGTGTGAGAACCATTGTGGCAGCGTGAGCGGTGTTAAATAAAATAAACCAAATTATTGCCAAATCAGAGATCCTCTCTGATAATTGGAGTGAGGATATGATGCTAGTTTGTGCTGAGCCGAATCCTCACAGCAGTTGCAGTGGAGACAGCCGGTACTCGACTCGACAGATTTCAGTTACTTCCCGAAACAGCTATGCCAGGAAACGGCCTCGGAAGGAAAGAGTCCCGTACTAATGCCCTGCCTTGTCGATGATGACCAGCTGGAACACCTTCACGGCAGCAACGCCATCAAGTGGAGCAACCAGCCGGGACGCACTGCACTTTCATACCTCTTCAGGCGGGAGGCAACTGCCGCTATCCGCCCGGATCTCAGCCGTGCGATTAGCAACTTTGGCAATTATTTCCGCCTCAGAAAAAATGAAGAGTCTCCTCAGTCTCCAAACGAGCGTTTTAAAACTGGATATTTAATAAGCTATTATAAATTCTTCACGAAATACTAGCCCTGCCTTACACTATAAATAAGTAGGTATATGAATAACTCGGATAAGATTGAGCCATTCATTTATGAACTGCAATCATGTTCCCACACATAAGAGATGACACGCCTTTTGCTGACACTTTGGAGTTACAGATGAAATAATTGACAGTGTTTTGAAAAGGAATCGTAGATATGAAAGTAAGGAATGCCAAAGACTTATACGGTTGGATTATGGAATGAACGTAGTAGCTCGAACAGATCATCGCATACTCGTAGTTGTAACCTAATCAAGTTATTTGACGCGTCTTGTATAATACTCTGTACTGTAATCCTTTGTTTTGTTTTTTGTTAATCTGTAGTCTTTCCTTTACATGGCGTGTTTCCATTAGGAAAATCTAATACAAAATAACTCTTTTATTTACGACTACCGTTGTATCTAAGCAACGTATACTTCGGAGACGTTTTATAGTCTCTGAGCCTATTAAGTTGCATATAAATTTTTAACGAACCACTTTCTTTGTGATGAGGGTTTAATGTGTAATTTTGTGAACGATATTCGGTACCACGTATGAGTCCAATTCGTTTCGTTAATAAGATTGTCCTTAACGATAGAGGTGTTGAAAATTATAATTATCGATTGCATTAGCGATTAAATTTAACAGACATTGTTTTTTTTTAGTGTTTTTTTTAGTATGACTTTTTATATAGTTTGCTCACAAAATACCAATGTCAAAAGTTAGTGCCTTGATTACAATGTATTTATGAGTACAACTGTAGAACTAAGACTTGACAATAAATGCCCACGTCAAGTTAGATTGTAGTATGATCCACAATATAACACAGGATACAGACACACATCATTACAATATAAAAAAAAACCAATATTACATAGAAATCTTGAGCTTACAGAATCAACGATAAGATGATACATGCATAGGAACATTTTAACATATTAAAACTGCATTCTGTAAAATGTGAAAAAGAATCATGGATAAAATCTCTTCTTATTCATATTAATTTCAATAATTTTCATTAATTCCATTTAAGAAGCTAAATAAAGTCATAAGGTGAACGAGAACTTAATGGCGGCAAACCTTGGCGTTACTCTGTCACTGTACTCTATTCTACATCTGAGCTGCATGAGTTAATCCTAACTGGAAAAAATTTCATTTACATCTAAGACGGTACTGTTAGCTTCATTTCCAGAAATCATACGCCTAACTTATTTAAGGTGTTCACTAAGATAATAGAGTGGTTTGCCTGTTAACACATCGACATTCGCAGAACAACTGAACTTGGTGAACAACTGAATTGCAAGAAACGTAAAGTGAATTTCACGGACCATCGATGCCAAATCCTGAATCTTCTATTCAAACTGGGACTAGTTTTCGTTTTATCTGAACATTGCCTTGTCTGCCAACCGCTGAGAAAATCCTAGCTACTCACCGATTGAGTAATGATTTTTAATAAAATATGGTATTATGGTGCTTCGCTTTTGCTAGAAAGAATCGGACTTTATTTGCAATTTTACCATTCATATCTTGTTCTTAATTACCACGTAAAAACTGCCTTTATAAGAGTACGGTTAGACATATGTGTACATATTTGCATCTACAGCTAAATGTATTCTGAATTTATGTCAACAACTTTTGGAAGTAACATTATACCTACTAGTCTAGCAAATGTACATCTAGTTTAAATAACAATACTATAAAAGAACATTTCAGAGCTAAACTGATGACTTAGCTACAAGGTGCTAAGTAGGAGATACTAGAAATGTTCAGTAAATACTAGTAAATTCTTAGAATTTTGCATCATGACTCATCAGAAGGAATCACCTGATGAGTCTATAAGATTCGGTTTGGTGGCGATGGTAATAACCCTAGAATTTGCACAGTAAAACTCTCCTTCGTCTCAGATCATTTTTTTTTGTTTTTCTTACTGAATGTTCAACATTGAAGTTTAGATTGGCATTGCCTGCTCTTTTGACCAGGTTGCTCTGAAATGCAACAATTAACAACACAAAAATGTTAGATTTCAGATTTTACCGATCTCTTTAATAATAAAAAACTCTGCACACAGCAGAAGAAAGTTTAAAGATTTTCGCAATGCTTGAAAAACCATTTAAGAATATAATTTTTCAAAAACAAAAATCTATAAACTCAGCAAGGATAAATAGTTTTGGTAAAACTATTTATTAAGATGGCTATCTTAAACGAACTATACTGTCTGCTTATTCATTTTGTTCTAAGCGATTTGCATAAGAATAGCAGCTAATACCTTGTTAACACGAGAACATTTCCTTTTGAATTGCCATTTTATGGCTATCGTATGAATGTACCATTACAATGGGTTACTTAAAAGTCAATGGTCGCGACGTTTCGGTTCACTCATTGAGACATTTACGGCTGTATCAACAAATATGTAGGTATTTATTGAGACATAAGTCACAAAGTATGAGTTTGAATTTATTAAAATTGCAGTTTCTGGATGTTTGGGTCCATAGATAGCTTGCTCACGAATTACTAACACACTGGCTGGCGTGGAATATTGGTTTAAGGCTAGCGATCAAAATTGCGAAGCAAAAGGGCATAGGTTCAATTCCCTCCAAAGACCAATATTGTGTAATAAGCACGATCATTTGTTGTATACGAGTATATGTCGTTGTTTTATGTTTGTAATATATATTTATGTCTTTTAGCTGTCTGGTTACTATAGTACCGGATCAGTCTAATTTTTCGGATGTATCCAGATCCCTTCTAATTAAGGCGCAGTATTCATTTGTTTATTAATTAAGACCTATTACGAAACATATACACAAGTAAACAACAATAATTGACTAAACCTCAATAGTCGGTGTACTTCTTCACATACAGGAGACCACAGCAAAGGTATGGTATCTTATGTATGTTTGTTCCATTCCGACAAATAGTAGCACCGCAACTCCCGGTGTCCTGACGGCCCGAGGGGTTTTCAAACACACAAAAAAAGGATCAGCCTAGTTTCTGATCACACGGCCGTATGATATTTCAAGTTATTATCCTTAATAAATTTACTGTATGACTTACATTACTTAAGACAAAACTAATAAATAATGTTAAACTTAACCATGAAAATAATTTGACTAAGTAACGTGTATGTGAAACATACATTTATGTTATTACCTGGTTGTAAAGCGTCACCGGTCGAGACTCACTCAAACGGATCACAAGGGACCGCTTTTAGGAATTATTGATGTGTTTCTAACCCTCAACCCTAATTTTGACGTTGGAGATGTATAAGATTCAGAATACTGAGACCTGTTCTTGTAATTTTTGTCGCAATGATAACGTTGGTTTCAATTGGGGAGGTTGCAGTGACGAAAAGCTATTGGCAAGGTACACGCCGCAGTGCGCAACCGAGGACTTGATGGCAATATTTTTCCACCAACTCTATGGCTGCTCTTCTTTAATTGGCGTTAACTTTTTAATTTGAAGTGCCGCCTTGAACAATATAAAAACTTGTCACGTGATAAAAAATGATGTCTATAAGTCTAAATGAAATGGCAAATAATAACATTAACTTTAATTTGAAAAAAGTTACTATTAAAATAAAAAATAATTTTAGCTCATTAAAACTAAAAAAAAACATGCAGACAAACTTTTCAACATGAGCTTCCTGGCTTAATGAATATTATAAGTGCAAAACCTGGGAGGTTTTATAGTACTCAGTAAATAGTTTTAATTTCCACCAATCGATGGAATCCCAAGATACCACAATGTCATCCAAATTATATAAATATAAATTTTCATTTCGATACTCACGATCACTTAGAAGTTAAAATTCACTTCTTATATTTGTTAAAATAGTTTTGTGTTAATAAGCTATATGCACTTTCGTAATTCCTTTTCATGTCTTGTCTGTTTCTCTATTTATGCATCGAGCTCTTTTCTTATCGTTTAAGGCTATTAAAAATGTTTATCAGAGTGAGGCATAGTAGAGTTACGACCGGTTTCAAATCATGTGGTGTTCTGTAACAGAGACTGTTTTTCTTCACACAATAACGATAGAAAAGTTTACATCTTGTGAACTTCATATCTTCAGTGAGGGGTAATAAACACAATTCATTCAATTAACTAAACTCAACTGTGTTTTTGTCATGTCGTGTTTGTCATTTTTTTTCAATGACTAAAATATTATTTGTTTGGGAAAGTCAGTAACAGAACACATGAATTACAGTTACCAGACACCGTCACCTATTATTCTGCTAAGAAAATGAAGTCTCTTAAACTAATCGAATAGCCGTATAACAGGTTTAAGCAGCTGTCCTACTGTCACTAAGGAATCAATACGTCCTTAATAATCTAGGAAAACTTGGTGCTTCTAGAAAATAGATATACTATGAGTATACGACAGGAATACAAAACAATGAAATAATGTAATACCTTTCAAGTCTACTTCGCTTCACTAGTATAATTGTTTCAGCTTCATAAGGTATTAAAGTTAAATTGAAGGTATGAAATTTACTTTCATTTAAACTTAACTAATTAGAAAACGAAGTCATAAAGGTATAATTTTAAGCTGTTTAATATTTCCGTACAAAGACTAGTTATCCTCGGTCTTTGGTAGGATCTTAATTCGAGTGGAAACATAATTATGACAGTAATAAAAATCACCAATAATATTTAATAATAAATAAAATAGGCGTAATTTATATATGTATAAGTATATTTTGTACAATTAAGTTTTTCATCAGTCAGGTTATCTTGGTACAGGCGCTTCTTAATTTGGAATAAGACAACCATGTCTAAAGTGTCTCAAGATATTATTATTTTACCAATGACTACTACTATTACTAGAACTAAAGTGGAAATACTTTTTAAATGTCAGTAAGATTGTTTTTTTTTTTCAAAACTAGAATTAGGAAATCATGTGAGAAAATTCAGCTTGTTTTGTCGTCCAGTAACTTTAGTCCAGAATTCCTAACGAATAATGAAACATAGTGAATGCTTCTAATGTAACTGTTACCTCTAATTGTAGCTATGATAACAAAACTAACTATACTTTTTATTCCTACAGTCCCTCCAACTGTAATTGTGCCCAACCAGCTGCTGGGCGCGCCGCTGGGTACAGATGTCGTATTAGAATGTACGATAGAAGCCTACCCTAACACCATCAACTACTGGCTCAAGAATAGAGGGGAGATGCTTCTAGACGGGTGAGATAATATACACGGATGGCGTAGTGGTTTAAGCGGTCGCCACGCGGCTTACTACTACGCTGAGTGTTGTGGGTCCAATCCCTACATGGGACGATACTTTGTGTGATCCACAACTTGTTGTTTTAAGTCTAGCTGTTCTTTGTGTCCGTTTCATTTATGTTTGTAAATTTGTGTCCGTTTCATTTATGTTTGTAAATTCCCCCGCGACACAGGATATATTCCTAATGCGGGAGTTGTTTTTATTTAAAAAAAAAACTACCTTTTGCCCACAGCTCCACCCGCGAGTATATCGGTTATCGCGGTAAAAAGTAGCCTATGTTACTCGCTCATAATATAACTATCCATTGGTGAAAGAATTTTTACAATTGCTTCAGTGGTTTAGGCACACATCACATCAATAACCTTTATAGTCCACTGCTGGACATAAGCCGTCCCTTAAAAAGGAGCTTTTGGCCTACTATACCACGCTGGCCAGACGGGTTGGTATAGGGTTTGTGTCAAGTTTTCCTTCTATCTGCAGTGCTGTTGTTCTGCGTAGTTTTTTCCCTTAGTCGGCTCTTACGACACCCACGGGAAGAATAGGGGTGGTGACACTCTGTATTCTTGATCTGTCACCACATGGACGTGGTTTAGGCGTGAAAGCGTAACATATAAACAAATTCACTTTCACATTCATAATATAAGTATTGAAGTCCTTACTTCTATACTTCACTTCCATACTATAATATCCTTATATGGATTAGAGATTATTAACTAAAATGACTCTATAATTGTTTAGTAAGTACCTGTACCCTGTAACCTCTATGGAGACCTCACTATGGCTGACCACTATGGCAGGCCACAAACTAAGATAAGACAGGGTTCAAAAGCGATTTCTGGGACATTTAGTATATTCTTTTGGGACTGCCAAGAAGTAATCATCGGACAAAGACAGACTTTTATATTTTAATATGATTTCCCAACAGAAGAGGAGAGATTTACTGGATTCTGTTTTTTATTTAAAATTCTGAAACACAAAATTGACTGTCCCCAATTGTGAGAAGTATAAAAATCCGTGTGCCATCGAAAATTCCAAGACCTCCTATAACTCTCTTGCATCCTCCTCTTCGCAGAACCGTTCTTGGTCCTAATTGTCCTATCCCCCACCTCTCCAAATTGTTAAACAGCTGGAGTGATCTCGTCGCTGTGCACTGTCTCACTTAGTAGGTTCAGATGAAGTGCTATTTACAAAGTCTTGCAAAAGCGTTCATGTTTTTGGTCCGCTATAGTTCTGGCTTTATAACTTTGTTTTTCAAATAAATTATTTAGTAGATAAGCAACAGAATATTCGTAACAGAATATTCAACATTTGAGTGTCCCTTATTTCTCTACGCTTGTGTACATACTTAAGATAGTCAGAAGTCTCTCGTTAGAGTTCTTATAATATGGCTGTTGAAGAAATAGGATTTTATTAGTTCCGTATTCTGTTAATGTCGTTGTCCATCAAATAGGCAATACTATGTCCTCATAGGTACTTATGCTAACGAGAAGGCCCACTTAACTGTACAACGCGGAGTTTAAGTACCAATAACTGGTAAGGTTGTGGCCATAAAAACAGGGTGTTAATGTTATTATGTTGTTGTTGTCATTATATGAGAAGTTTGCCTATGTGCAGTTAACTATATGGGTTAGTTTTAGTTAGTGGTGAAGGTATATTGTTTCGGGGTATATTGGAGATAAGTTAGCCTTGCTGATTCTTTTAGGAAGTAGATAATAACCAATTTTATGTTTTTAAGTATTTAATAATAATGATGATTAAATCAAATGTTAAAATGTGTTTTTTGATGATATTTAGACGACACGATCTTCTTTGATTTTGTTAATTCATTAAATTGAGTAATAATTTAGAGTTTGGTCTTAAATATATTCCAAATATTCAAAGAAAGCATCATCAACAAATCAAAAGTAGTTAGTAGTAATTAAACGCTTTTACTGCTCTTTTTTGCTTTGCATCGAAAAAGTCAAAATGCTTTAATTTTTCCAGACAGTCATAATCTTGAAACCGTTAAGAGATTAGGTTTAAGAGAATAGGCTTCTATTGGATCCTAGTAGTAGTTTGAGGTAAGTAGAATTCTTGTGAACCACTTTGTAGTTCAGCGTCATTAGAAAATCACTAGTACTTATTTGATAATTTAGTAAAAACATATCTTTAACTTACCAAATTTTTGAGAAACGACTTTTGAGATTGATGAACTTTTTTTAAAGAATACCTTACGTACTTGTAAACTACACTGCTGTTACTTCAGTAAAGTAATAATTTACAAGTAAGTAACCCTTATACCATGTGATAACGGATTGTCAACACTCCTATTCATCCCGTGGGTGTCGTAAGAGCCAACTAAGGGAGCAAACAACGCATAACTACAGTACTACAAAGAGAAGGAAAACTTGAAATAAATCCTATACCAACCCGTCTGGCCAGCGTGGTATAGTAGGCCAAAACCTCCTTTCTAAGGAGAGGATCCATGCATGTCCAGCAATGGACTACTAAAGGCTATTGATGATAATGAACCCTAATAGTAATTAGCTGTTTAATGGTAAGCTTAACACTACACACGTGCTCTCCCAAAACAGTTTCTCTATCTGTAGTGAATATCGTAATTATTATAATTCTTACTAATAATTTATAATGACCTTACTGACCTGAATGAACCTGACGGGCCTGTAAGTTTAGTGTTTGGTGATCCCGATTGCTATGCCAGAGTTTTTGGGTTTAATTCCCAAAACAAATGATTGTCTGATGAGCACGATCATTTGTTCTGTGTATTGCTGTACTCGTAATTTATCTAATGACCTTACTGACCTGAATGAACCTGACGGGCCTGTAAGTTTAGTGTTTGGTGATCCCGATTGCTATGCCAGAGTTTTTGGGTTTAATTCCCAAAACAAATGATTGTCTGATGAGCACGATCATTTGTTCTGTGTATTGCTGTACTCGTAATTTATCTAAAATAAGTGTGTTTAGAAATATATAGGTATGTTTATCGGTGGTCTGGTTACGAGTACTATTACCTATGAACCGAGCCTATGCTCGGTTTAGATTGCATTAAAATGAGATACGGATGATTATTATTATTGTTATTATAATATAAATGAGAAATGAGTTTGTTTATTGAAGTATTATTAATTAGTATATATGGTATGAAATTTTGACTATACCTCGTTGAGAGCCTATAAGAAAACATGGGATTAGACATGGGATCTTTTGTCCATAAAAGGTACTGTTCTCAAGGAATAATAAGCTACTGAATTACTACGATCGGACATAAAAGCAGTTTTAGATTGATATTAATATTTATGGTAAAACTATTTATTATTCGAAAATGCAAATAAATTCTAGCCTCCATTTTAGGGGCCCTGATTCAAGTGTCAGGTTTCCATGCCTATTGTGCTGAAGAGTCACCAATAAAGAGTTTATAAAGGATGATTGATAAGTTATTTCTATATTGTGAAAGCCGCGATTAATATGAGAGGTAAATTCATTGTTAACTTAAATGACTGATATTCTTTAAACAGAAGAAATTAATGAATTTTATTGTTATGACATTTTAATGCGCACCTTAAAAGTGTGGTCGTGGAATCAAACCTAATATATAATAGGGGTTAAAGTATGAAATTTCCATTGTATAGTAATAGATAATTTGAATTGACATAAAACCTTCATGGTGTGAGATTTTTGTGTCAAACTTTGTTCACGTGATATCTATGAAGTTCTTCTTTTAAAAATGTGCAACATTCGATTTTCGACTTTCAATCGTAGGTTCGACGTGAAAGATTGATACTTCGAAAATCCGTGTCATTTTTGAATACGTTCCGACGCGGAACTAACGCGGCAGGAACGGCTCGCAATATCAACGCTGCGTTTGGAGAGGAGACGGTTAATAAACGCACCGTGCGTTTTTAGTTAAAACACTCTCTTAATGGAAACTTCGACTTGAAGGACGAACCACGTGGAAGACCGTCCACAGGTAAATAAAGCTGAATTGAAGGAGATTGTGGAAGGCGATCCAAATTTATCTACCCAGGAATTAGCAGCATAGTTTAACGGTACTCAATCTACAATATTGACTCATTTGCATCAAATCAATAGGATAAAAAATATAAAAACATGGGTGCCTTATAATTTGACAGATCTGCAGAAATAAATGGCTGTTAAAACTTGTGTTGCCTTGTTGAATCCGTACAGAAAAGAAGGATTTTTAAAGAAGGATTTATTGGATCGAATTGTGACATGTGAAGAAAAGTGGATTATTTACGATAACCGTAAGCGATTGGGTCAACCATTGCATTTTTCGCTTACGGTTATCGTACCCAGGTCAAATGCCGCAACACTTCCCTATAGCAAAGCTTTCCAATAAAAAGGTAATGGTAACTGTTTGGTGGTCTCTTCATGGTGTTATTCACTATAGCTTTCTCAGGTCTGGTCAGGCAATAACACCAGATTATTTACTGTGCCGAACTTCCAACAATGGCGAAACTGGACAGTGAAACAGTCCCGACTCGTGAATCGATCTTCACCATTGTTGCTTCATGATAACGCAAGACCTCACACTGCACGAGAAACCGTTGTAACTCTACAAGAGCTGCAGTTAGAAACCACGCGTCATCCTCCGTACTCGCCAGAACTTACTCCAACGGACTACCATTTTTTCCGTGATTTGGATAATTTTATATTATGTATACTTTATGTACAAAGGTGACAAACGCGGACTTAATGACATAGGCTTAATTTTCTACGTGATAAAAAAAATCTTCCCAAGAGGTAACACAAAATGCTTCCAAAAAGTTTGTCGAAACTATATCCCGAGAGGGATAGAGTCCTATCGTAAAGGCATAAATGAACTTCTGTTAAGATGGCAGCAATGTATAGATGAGGGTCAAATCAATAAATTATTATAATTATTATTGATATTTCCATTAAAAAAATATGTTACATCTTATAAAAAAAATGATTAAATTTTTCAGTACAAATCGGTAATTTCATAATTTAACCCCTAATATTAGTCGCGGCCCCAGGGAAACGAGAGTGGTAGTAGATGCTATCAACTCATCAACTTGAGATTGAAAGTGGTTTAGTTTAAAGTCACGGTAAATATCCTTGTAACATTTACTACTAAAGAATAGAATAATTGTGAAAGAGGCATCCTTCGGAACATATGGGGCAGCTCGACCGAAGTGATACCACGGTGTCTAAAACTACTGTAGTAATTCTTTCCTTGCTTGCTACTGTGTGATTGAGGTTACCGGAGTACCAATACCTCCCTTCTTATGTCTGTTACTTTTAAGTTGAGTTACCATGAGGTGACTCATCTATTCATTTACATATATATCCATAGTATAAACGTGAAAGTGAATTTATTTAATTTTGTTGGATTGTTCATTGTTTGTTTTGCGTTCACGCCTAAACCAATAAACCGATTTGTGGGTAGGAATTTATTTTTCACAAAAATAAATTTCATTTCACTTACATAAGAATATGTTTCTCACTTAATACACTGATATATACTTCATCATTCAAACTTTTAAATATTACATTATTTTTGTGATATAATTTACAATTTGAACGGTTATATTATATTGGTTTTGATACTAATTGTGTGTGATTTTCAAAATTCTTTTACCAATTTAAAGCTACATTATCAGCAACATAATCTGCTTTTTATCGCGATAACCGACATACACGCGGGCAAAGCCACGGGCAAAAGGTATCAAAAAAAAAAAAAAACACTAGAATATTTTATTTTTATCTTATAGGCCAATATGTAATGTGTTTATATTATTACATAAAACAGTACACGCTAGTCACTTAATATCAAGTACTCCGGCTAATTATTTTTCCTCTCCTCCATGTTTTTTTTTAATTATTTTGGTTATATGTGTTGTTCACAGTCCAAAGTACTCCATCAGCGAAGAGCGTATATCCTACAGAGCGATGATGAAGTTGACGATCAGACACTTTTCCAAAAGTGACATCGGCACCTACAACTGTGTTAGTACCAATTCTCTTGGAAAAAGCGAGGGTACTTTGAGACTTTACGGTGAGTTCCTACAAATTTTCTAGTTTAAAGTTTTTTTTTTCATACGGAATCACCAAAAGCCTATAACAGTCCACTGCTGGACATAGGCCTCTCCTTAGAAAGGAGGTTTTGGCCTACTATACCACTCTGGCCAATCTGGTTGGTATAGGATTTGTTTCAAGTTTTCCTTCTCGTAGCAGTGCTGTCGTCCTGCGTAGTTTGCTCCCTTAGTCGGCTCTTATGACACCCACAGGATGAATAGGGGTGGTGACATTCCGTATTCTTAATCCGTCACCACACGGACAGAATACATTCCACTTAATATATTGAGATGTACAAATAATGAACTTGAAGAGAAAACTTATCTACGAGCGTAATTTGACGGTGTCACTAATGAAAGAGGCGTATTACGTATCGGTGAATCATTGCAAGTGGCAGCATTTTGAGTTTTTGGAGTATACAAAACCCAACTTAACATTTACATATATTATAATCATGTAATATCTTAACACTTAATTAATAGGACTTATTCTATTAAGATGCAAAAAAATCAGCAGTACAGCCTATGCACTTTTTAAGCTTGCACCTCTGCTCAATGAGGAAGGTATACTTAAAGCATATCATGGAATAACCGCCTCCTATCTTAGATATGGCATACTATTCTGGGGAAACTCGACAAATAAAGAAATGGTTTTCAAATCTCAAAAGCAATGCATTAGAGCAATGTTCAAATTAAAATCTACAGATAGTTGTGTACCATATTTTAAAAAGTATAAAATTATGACATTGCCATCTTTATACATTTTTGAAACAGCAGTTTTCGTAAAGTCGAACCTGGAACTGTTCGAAATATTAGCTGATACGGTTACTCGCAATAGAAGAACCCACACCAGTAATAGGATGCGAATAAGAAAAGCAAATACAAAATTAATGCGTAAAAGTGTATTCAGTATGGCACCTGTCATCTATAATAAGATACCCGATGACATCAAAAATCTAGACATAATCCCATTTAAAAAACATCTACAAGAATGCCTATCTGAAAAATGTTATTATGATATAAGAGAATTTTTAGATGGTAAATGGGGATAATTAAATAATTAATTAAAAGAAATGAATTTACAAATACATACAATTTTTATTTATTATTTATCTTTATTTTTTATTTGACATTGTAATTACTTTATTGACATCATAGTTCTAAAATTTTATACATAATTTATAAAAAAGAGACATTGATTTTGCATGTTTTAAGCTCTAAGGTATGAAAAATCAAACTGAAATATTATATTGCTTTAATTGCGACAATTCAATGTAATTCTATTTGCATGTCTTAAATTTAGCGTTTCACAATTTTTTTTTTTTTTTCTCTTTAATTATTGTAAGCCTAAATGGCAGAACATAGTAGATCATTCTACCACTCTAAACAACCTTTGTATACCTATGTTTCACAATAAAAACTGATTGATTGATTGATTATTTCTAAGAAACAATTAAGATTACCTTGTGTTACTTCAAAGAATTTAAGAAAATCTAGTTACATGATCTAAAAGTTAATGTTGCAATGAAAACAAATATCAAAGAAATCTTATAAGTATTCTCATATCGCATTAGCTAAAACTCCCTGAAGAGCTGATACGACTTTTTTTGCAGAAATAAAGCTGTACCCCAGTTCGCAGTCGGCCGAAGTAAATATAGGCGGTAAGTAAATATAATTTTACTCCTTTGGGTGAATACCGATATGAATAAATAGTGAATATAAGTAATATGTTAGATGGAAAAATTGAAACACGTTTGGTAAAGGGATTCCCTACCGGGGGAATGGTTTTAGAAGACCGGATTATTTCTTTTTCAATTTCATTTAGGGATGTATTTCATCGTGAACTTAGTGTTTGTTCGAGTTGAATGACATATTATGTACATATTTTACATACAAATGTTATAATAAAATAGTACAGAAAGAAAATAAATAATTTGATAGAAACTTGTTTATTTGCTTAGTTTCTATATTTATTACTATTAATTTTAACATAATTAGGCTTGTCTCACACACAATTCAATTTACATAACTATTTTGCAAATGGCAACAAAGGCTGGAGAATGTTGCCTTGAAAATCACCAGAACCAAAACTGAGTACATGTTCTGCGATTTCGGTGGTCTCTCCAGTCCTGAAACCATTTCGCTGGATGGGATAGCGATAACAGTCTGCTCCAATTTCAAGTACCTCGGCTCCCTCTTACAATGTGATGGTGAGATTGATCGAACTGTACAGCATCGAATCAATACGGGATGGATGAAGTGGCGGCAGGTAACGGGAACAACTTGTGACCCCAGTTTCCCCTTAACGCTGAAGGGACAAATTTATAAAACTATTATCAGACCTGCCGTCCTGTATGGTTCTGAAAGTTGGCCCATTAAGAGAACGGATGAGAGACGCCTGAACGTTGCCGAAATGCGAATGCTGAGATGGACGTGTGGTGTGACTCAGATGGACAAGGTTAGGAATGAGTATGAGGCGGAAGCTTATTCCGACACCGTCACTGGATGAGCGGAATCGCTCCGCTCATGCCACTCAGACCACAACCAAGAAACATACGATGTTTACTGCAGACGGCTGGCGCCAACGCGCCCGCGCACCGATGTCGGCACGCCACCTCGACACAACGCTTTCGACTTGCTTGGAGCTTGTACGCGTCGCGCTAACATATATTATTCGTAAACCTGTGCTTATCTTGTATGTACTTTCGCTAATATAATTTCATTTCTTCCTTAATAATAATATTATTCATTCTGCTTTTAAACCTTCATTCATTCTTCCTACTTACTATCGCTCGCTTACTCAGTGCTTTCACGCGGGTTCGATACCCGAACGTTGTTAGTGTAGGCTAACCTAGCCTAGCACTACAAGTATATACGAGGGAGTCTAAAAGTAGCGCCACTGGATGAAAAGTTAAGAAGTAATAGGTTATCTTGGTATGGACATGTCATGCGGAGGGATGAGGAAAATATGGCGAAGAAAGTTTTAGGTATGGGAGTTGAAGGGTACAAGAGAAGAGGCAGACCGAAGAAAAGGTGGATGGACTGCGTGAGGGAGGATATGGCTAGGAAGGGAGTAAACAGTGAGATGACGCATGACAGATTAGAATGGAAAAATCATACATACTGCGTCGACCCCAAATAAAATTGGGAAAAGGGTAGGCAGATGATGATTTTGCAAAAATCAAAAAATATTTGCACTGCTTGGTAGACTTATACGTATATTCCAATTCTCTGAAAACATTTGAAACAAAAACACGTTTAGTGATATTCGTAATTGTTAATAAAAGTAAAATATTTTAGTTTTTTTTGTGTGATTTTGTTATGCGATATCTTCGCCATGTAGGTACAAAACTGATTTCAATAATGTTTTTTTTCATCGACACTAGTCATAGGTGGCACCCAAGGTTGACCCAGTTAAAATATGAATATTCATAAATAAGCAATAAAAATACAGTGTATTACAATTTATTATGATATATTTATTACTATTGTAGTCCGCGCAACTTTTTTTAGAAGTGAATTAGAGTATAATAAAGTAAACTGGACAACCTTCTATCTGTCGATAAATAACTCCTGTAATCCTTCTCATCAGTAAGCGTGAAAAAACCATTCTGAGATTACTAGAAAAGTGCTTTTGCCTTCTTGATTCCTAATTACGATGCAACTCCCTTTCTGACAGCATTATGATCCGGCAGAAAGTCATTACAACATAGCTGTAGGGCAGAAACATGATTATAGAAATTTTATCATTAATTATCATAATCAAACTGACATTACATAACTCAATTTTGTTTCAGGTCTCACAGAAGGAGCAGTCAAACAAAAATCTCACAACACTTGCAGTCACGCTTTTATAAGAACAGTTGATTTAGTCGCATTGTTAATATTAAGAGTACTAATGTGATATGCTAAGTAAATTTCATTAAAATGGTAAATTTCATAAATATGTACATAAATACTTATTTAAAAATATAACGATATTCTTTTATATCAATGCCATATTGTGAAACTGAAATCTAAAGTTCACGGCACCCATTTGTCTAATTTTATTAGAAAGAGATTGCGTGTCACTGATAATATTATTCTCGTTGGCAGTTCACTCAATGCCCACGAAATTAAACATTTTATTGTGGTAATAAATATTTGGTTACACAAATAAAAAAGGCACAGCCGTTCACCATTTGCTACAATCCATTCAAGATATTTTAGGCTTCTTGTAACTTTATTGAGAACAAAGTTAGAAGCCCAAATTTTCAGTAACTGAAAACGCATATAGTATGTATTCTAGATATTCCCAAACTATAGATTACATTTGTATCTGTAGTTAAAAAAAAAACTGTTAAAAGTCAATTTTTTTTTCATTGATTCGCTTACCGGTCATCTAAGTTGTATTTATCAAAAATACTTACTATAAAATATTATTAGTTAACAAATTAAGTAACAAATAGATTTCACAAATTTTTTCATGCATTGGATTTTTTATATGCTAAAAAATGTGTCCTTCAAAATCTAAGTTTTCATTTAATATCAAAAATCTACTGGTACGGTCTTAGTGGCTATTTTGTAATTGTATTTAGTTTTATACTGTTGAATATTTAAAAAAAATCAATGGATTTGTGTGCGTCTCTAACTTAATATTGGAAGTTAGTACATGATAACTCCGTGGATTTTAGTGAATGTAATTACTAAAATCCATTCTGATCATTGTGTAAATAAATATTTTATATAAGTACTTTAAATTAATACATTTTATTAGAGAAATATCGAAAAATCATCATTGCTATTTGTACTGAAATTCGCAAAGGTTAGTTAATATAGTAGTCCTTGTATCCACATTTAAAATAAATAGTGATTCAAACCTGATAATATACATATTTATAATGGACATTTTGACTTTTTTTTTTAAGTAGTACCAAACATATAAAGTAGATTACATAGTTAAGTATACTATCCACTCGTCCTTGCCATCGTTTACACTATGGAGAAAAAGAAGAAAAATTAATATTTATTTGAAAACATTCGAGATTTATTGTAGGACTTCGCCCGCCAGTATGAAGGTTATCGCAGTAAAAAAGTAGCCTATTACCTTTCTTAAGAATCAAATCATCGCCTCGCCAAATTTCACTAAAATCAGTTCAGTGATTTAGCCGTGAAAACGTAACAGACAGACAGTCACTTTCACTTTTATAAGCTTTATTTTTTACCGTTTATACAAATAAATAAAATTGAAGTGTCTATTTGTAATGTCAAAATAATAGGCTTTTTATGCTCACAAGGTTATTTGCACGATACCCAAACCTGTTTAAATATATATTTTTTTGCCTGTCTGTCTATTTGTTCGGGGTAATCTTTAAAACGGCTGCACTGATTTTAATAATATTTTGTTACCAGGTTGCTGTCTATATAAGAAGTAACTAACTAAGGAAAAACCCTAAAAAAAATTGCCCATTTAGTCGCGTACCTCACGATACCACTAAGGCAACGCTTTTTAAATTTAACTTGTCACGGGTAACAGCTAGTGTTATATAAACAAGCTACATATCAAGCAGTCATACCATGATCTTATAAAAACCAAGCAAAGTTGTAGATGTATTCAAAAGAAATTATTTATTGTCTTATGTGACATGACCATAGAAAGTATGTTGTTTCAAATTCAACTGGCAACTGCCGCTGATCAGCTGCAGAGGAAGAACGGGCATTGAATTAAACTTATTGTCCAGGTAAGTTGGATCCTCGTTATACTAAAGACTAAACATTAGACACATAAGGTATGGTGGTCCGTGTGGTGATGGATTAAGAATATAAAGTGTCACCACCCCTATTCATCCTATGGGAGTCGTAAGACCCGACTGAGGGAGCAAACTACGCAGGACAACGGCACTGCAAAGAGAAGGAAAACTTGAAACAAACCCTATACCGACCCGTCTGGCCAGCGTGGTATAGTAGGCCAAAATTACCTTTCTAAGGAGAGGCCTTAGTTCAGCAGTGGACTGTTAAATGATGATGATGATGATATAAGGTACCTCGGAATCAGCATTACCCTACTTTATTTTGTGAAATATGAGCGTGGAAAGCATTTAAGTATTTAATTTAAAAATTATCTTACATATAAAAATATAAAACAGCCTGCTATCACAACAATTCATATACTCGTATTTCAATATTTTGTATCAACCGACAGTTTTTGGTAATAAAATATTGAATCATCATAATATAAACTGAATGAATATTATTTAATCACACAAAGTAATGTATTCGTGATGAAACTCGCCCCATGACAGGCCATGAAATAATCTTAATGCGTATTGCGACAGTCGCTTCCTTTTATAATTCATTCTCTCAGCTAATGAAACTGCTGAGACACAGAATTTTATATCCCTGTTTAAAACCTATAGCTCATGGTGTTATAAAATACGACTACAAAGAACAGATGGCGTCTTTCTATTGTCCTATAACAATGTGATTACTAATTTGTAGGAAGATGGCCTGCTACATTTCTGATTACGGTACGATGCTAATTAAATGCCGTTGAGAATTTTAAAGATGACCAAAATATCTCTCTATTTCGTTTTAACGTCTAGTGGTATAATTAAATAGTGTAGGTACTGCGTTGATAAATAATTTCTAGTACAACGTATATCTCTTAATATGATTTCATATTTCATTAAATAAACAGTGGTTTCACTTTTCAGATGGTTTGTGGATTGCTTACCTTTTGCTTTAATATTTCAGTAGTCTTTAATAATCCACTGTTGGACATAGGCCTCTCCTTGGAAAGGAGATTTTGGCGTACTATACCACGCTGGTCAGACGGATTGGTACAGGGTTTGTTTCAAGTTTTCCTTCACTTTGCAGTGCTGTTATACATAGAAGTCAGCTAAAAGGGTTTAGATCTCACCATTGCAAAATCAAAGGTCAAAACTAATTCGACCTTCAGGAAGTCTGTTGAAAAAATTATTTGCCTTCCTAATTTTGGGTTAAAAATATTACTCTAGCTGATACAAGTTTTAAAACATTGTTTACTAGAAAATTAGTTTGCAGTGAAAAAAAATTAAAAAAAAAAATCGAATTCTTTAATTACTTTTCACAGATGATTTTTTTTTTGCAAGTATTACTCCACCACAAACATTCTGCTTTGCACAATATAGTAGGCATTATTGCCTTTGATATATTTCGAATTCCATTGAAAGACCTCGTAAGCAGTCACAAGTTGTAAAAGCTCTAGCAGGCTACTGTACAAATGCAACTTAGTTGAAATTTATTAATTCAACACAGCAAATTACATACACAAAACTTTGTTCAGCCAATCCAGACAATTACAATTTTCCTCTCCTCGGCACTTTAAATTAAAACACATCCCATCAGGCTACTAGTTAAACTCCAATATATTTTCCTGTCCAAGATCAATATTGACCTCTTTAACCCAATAAAGTGTTTGAGTTACCGCCACGGCCCATCTGTAAATTGTTAGTGTTTAATGAAATCCAATAAGAGAGGTTTAACTTACTGAACTTATTGCCTACGTAACAACGGAAATAAATTCTGTTACGGATGTTTTATTGAGGTAAGTACATGAGAATGTGGAATGGATGAATAATGAGAGGATTAAATATTTATATTTACGTACCTACAAGTAGTATTTCGAATTTATTATAAATAAGTTGTTATTTTGCTTATCGTTTTTATTTGAATAAAATTCATATATCTAGATTAATGGATTCCGTAGTGTTTATTTTAATATTTGAAAAGCGAAATCACTTCTGAAATTTTAATTTCATTCAGTCTATCCTCTATCCTATACGTCGCGTCGCGTACGCGTTGTCGCACAGACGTGTGAGTCTAATCATGGCCTCCAAATTGTTAAAATGTTCGAGCTGTAATGTTCGAGTTATTAACGAAGTTCTTGCCTTTGTTTCTAACAAAATTGATGTGATGAACGAGGAGAGTATTAGTCAAATTTGTGTGAGTGCATTTACTGACGAGGACATTCACAGTGCTAAAAATCTTCTATGTGAATCGCTGCCTACAGAGAGGCGTAAGAAGACACGGAAGAGAGACGGAAAGAAACTACGTGAAATAGACGACATCATCTGCATGCTGAAAGAGTCTGATCCTGAAATCTTGCCGGTTTTCGTGGCCCGGGATCTACACAAATTACCGCCGGTGCTTTTTGATCATGTTGATGTTACTCGGATTTTAAAGGATCTGATGATTATGCGGCAAGATATGAATCAGATGAAAGAAGAGTATGCCACCAAGGCAAACCTAGATTCTGTTAAGTCTGATCTTGAAAACCTAAAAAAGGCATCAGTAGTGAAAACTTTTGAAAGTACCGCCCTTAGTGTTAATACCAAGCGAAGTGGCTTATTGCTAGATAGTCACAACGACCACTGCAACGATCCTAGGGGGCTTGCATACATAGACACAGAACGCACTTTACGTAAAAGTTCTAGCGGTATACGAACAGAAAATATCAAGCGGGATAGCTCTCAATGTTTTTCTAAAAATGAGGGTAGTCCGAAAATTTGCGGTGAAACCCAACTTGTAAATACTAGCAGTATATGCTTTACTGAGGCCTATGACGAGCGCGAGTCGATGACTCACCCGCAAGTGGCTGCGAACGCCGTAACTGGCGAGTCGGGACACACGGCCGCTCCGGACGTAAACAGCGACGTATCCGGTAAAAAGAAATCTTTAGCTGATATTGTAATCAATGGTAAATGGAAAATACCCAAAGAAGATAAAGGTTGGACCCTAGTACAAAGAAGACGTCTAAGGAACCGATTTGTCGCAAATACAGGAAAGGCAATTTTGAGTCCCGAAGCGAGTTTCAAAGCTGCGGAAATAAAAATTCCTATCTATATATACAATATTGCAAAGGACGTGCCTGAGTGTGACATACAG